CCCACACACACACATCCACCCCCCTCTGCGTCTATCAGGACATCGATGTGCTCAACGCCGAGATCGTCGACCTGCAGAAGCAGATTCAGCGTGCGGGCGAGGACAGAGAGAAGGAAAAGGCCGACTTCCAGACCACCGTGCGGGACCAGCAGGAGACGCAGAAGCTGCTCGCTTAGGCCATCGAGGTCCTCAAAGCGTTCTACGAGAAGACGGGGGAGGAGCTCATCCAGTCGGGCAGCCAAGACGAGCCCGCCGGTCCCCCGCCGCCACCCGGCTTCCAGCCTTATGAGAAGCAGGCCGGTGCGTCGGGCATCCTCTCAATGCTGCAGCAGATCCAGAGGTTACACACAGACACAGACAGAGGGAGAGAAAGAGAGAGACATGATGTGACAGTCATTTGTGTGTGTGCGGGGTGTGCAGTGATGCAGCGTCGATGGAGCAGGAGGCCATCCATGACGAGCAGGATGCTCAGTCCGCGTACGAGACGTTTGTCAAGGACAGCAACGCGTCGATCGAGGCCAAGCAGCGGGACATCACCGACAAGACGGAGTTCAAGGCCACCAGTGCAGCCGACCTCACTCAGACCAAGGAGGATCACGCCGCCGTCATCACCGAACTCGAACAGCTCGCCAGCTACGCCGCATCGGTCCACCAGGTGCTCATCTAACACCCTCAAGCACACGCACACACAGGAAGAGACCTTGGTGGGGTGTGTTGGTTACTGTATTCCGTGTCAGGCGTGTGACTTCGTGTTGAAGAATTTTGACATTCGCCAGACGGCGCGGGACCAGGAGATCGAGGCGCTGAAGCAGGCCAAGGCCATCCTGTCAGGCATGAAGTGATCAAGACACACACACACACACACACACGCACACGCCTGCGTAGCTCTCCATCGCATACCTGGTCAGCCAGCGAGTGGATAAATCCATTCATTGTACGTGTGTGGGAACGACGTGTTGGTGTCGATGTCGACAGATGGACAGACTCCAGCTAGACACATAGAGATTGGTCAACCTTGATGTGTGAGCATTCACATCAATGTATGTGTGGACGTGTAAAAGACAACCAACCAAGCTAAAACAAGTTGCGCCTGTGACGTCAACATTGAGTAGACACTTGAGTCACCTCTGTCCATGCATTCATCCACGAGATGGAGTCGACACGTGTATGCAAGCCACTTCCTGCCAAACTGACTGACTGACTGACTGACTGAGTGGGCGAACACTGCAACCAAAAAAATAGTGAGACATCCGTTTGTCTGGCTTTGCTCACACGGAGACGATTGTCGATGATGCGCTGGGCTGGGGCTGCTCGAGACGGTGGACAGGTGCGATTGTGCACGAACTGGTCGAGACGGTCACAAACAAACACACCCACCCACCAGTAAGCAAAAGATCAAACACAGCAAGCAAAAGATTAAACGGCACTCGCAAGCAACTCGCAAACACAGTCAGACGGACAGCACATGGACTTGAATGTGTGTGTGTGTGTGTGTGTGAGTGTCAGCTTATCTGTGTGTGATAGAGTGAGTGGGTATTTGTCTCCAGACGCTAGCCAGAGTTTGCCGGTCGTCTGCTCCATGCACTCCATCTGCTGCTGGTTGATACAGACACACACAGGGAGAGACGACATGCAGTTGTTTTGGTTGGCTGGCTGTCAGTCTGTCTGTCTCACCGATGTTGGAGTGAGGCTTGACTGCCAAACGATGTTGGTGTGGGCGTGTAGAACAATGATTGGCTCTGCAGCCATCACACACACACACACACACACAGAGAGAGAGAGAGAGAGAGAGGCACAGACACAGAGAGACATGAGTGTTTGCCTGTTTCTCTCTGCCCACATCTCGGAGTGCTTTTCTTGGTCGGATGTGTTCTTTTCTTGTGCCCTTTCTTCTCCCTTCTTCTGTTATCCCTGTGTCGCTCCTTGGGTGGTCGAATATGGGTGGTCGCTCCTGGGGAGACACATATTCGGCACAGCGATGAGCGCTGAGCGATTGCGTCTGAGGGCCAACTTTAACCGATGGAGCAGCAGCTGCTTGAGGAGGTGGACGGTGCAGACAGTGTGGAGATGGCGAAGCAGACGGGAGAGGCGAGGGAGGGAGGAAGAGACGGACGGATTGATGGTTGAGAGGATCAGTCAATCAGTCTGATCGGTCGATCGTGTGTTTGTGATTGGTAAAGGACTCGCGATCGGCGGCCGATCTCATACACTCACACACCGTACTGAACGTACAGAACCAACACACCTACGATGCGATGTACTCTGTCTCTCAACCCAAAAGACAAAGCAAAGCCCTATATATCGCATGTGCACTTACTAAATCGGCCGCGGAGCTGGAGCGAGTTGGCATGCCTGCCTTTCATGTCACAGGGCCTCGCTTCTCCTGTCATGGAAGCCAACTGATGACATGACGTTGTGAGGCACTCAAGGACGCTTCGCATGCACTCAGTGACTGTGTGGCTTTGTGTCTCATTATGACTTTGGTCTGGGTCCGTCATTAATTAATTGTGTCTCGTTGCTTGCCAGTGCATCGTTGCAGTGAGACACGAGGCGTTTGTACGCAATGTACAAATGGAAGCGCTCAATTTGATGTGGTACATATGTGGTCACGGCGGGCCAGCCAAGCGCCTGCCGTCTGTCTGTTTGTACCCTCTGACCGCCTCGTATACGTTGGGGTCGGCAATTCTGAAATCGGCATTCCTGTGCACGGCACTCTTTTGACATGACTGGTTGGGCCATGCGCTTCTGAAACGTATGCGGACAAATGATATTTCTTTTCTTTTAACATCAATGTGTGTACGTATGTTTGACACCGAACCATACCTGACACACACAGGCTGACTGGTATGCGCTTCTTCTTGGTGTCTGTGGCGTGGAAGCAGACGAAGGTCCAAACTTCGGGTTGGACCTTCCTTGCATCCTGAGGGTCAATTCTTGGTCTGTATATGCCTGTCTTGGTCCATCCATCCATCCATCCATTCATCCATCCAAAGAGCATGTAGACACAACAATTGTCGGTGTCACAGTGCATTGGGAAAAGAGGATGTCGCATCGTGTGTTTCTGTCTCCATCCAAGCAGACATGTCATGGCAGCTCAAACATACTTGAATGAAAGGGACAAAACTCGTGTGTGCTTACTGACTGATACCTGTTCTCATCAGCAGCGGTCAAGAGCTTCAGCACAATGACTGGCGAATTGCGAAAGATGATAGCAGTGACGCCGATGCCCAGTGCCAGCAAGTGCATCCTGATGACGCCCGGCTCGGCAATGCTCTTAATCAGGGGCAAGTTGGCAGAGCGCACGAGGGAGATGTTGAGCGCACCTTCGAACAAGACTTCGATCAGCACCATAATTCCCAGACCTGCTAGCCTCTCTAGCAGGTGACGGGCGGATGGAAAGAGGATCTGGCCGAGAGTGATGTTGAAAAGGTTCGCAAAGATGAGCACTGTCAACTCGATCAAGCTCTAGGCATGCACTTGCTGCAGCAGTGGAGGCAAAAAAAAAGTGTAGAATGAATGGATTTTCTTGTCTGTCGCTTTCCTTCCTCACGTCGTTGAGACGCCGAGGGAATATCGGGTGATAACCAAATTCAACAACCCGAGTGGGGACGTCCAGAAACGTGCTCAAAGACCTCATGAAATAGCGACCGGCCGACTTGAAATTCATAATGGTCGTAGAGAGGCGGCTGAGTAGCATGACCGGCGTCTGCTTATCCCGCGTTTCCTGAGTATCTTCAGCAGTGACAGTGTCGAAGTGCCGATCTCGTACCGGCCTGTATAGGAATCGCACTAGACTTCTTCTCGCGGCACCACCTATGAGAACGAAATACGGCATAGCTAGGTCGGTAACGAAGTCGAATGATGCAAAGATCAAGCTCCCCAGAAGCTGATAAGGAGAGACATGTCCAGGAAGGACGAGGAATGGATCTGACGCGAGGACAGCGTCGATGTGCCCACCTTACCTGAGAGGAGACATGTTCCATCTCGGCCTGGACGACCCTTGGGAAGAGTGCGAAGCCGAACGCTACAAACGTGATTGCTGGAGACGTTTGCAGGGCAGGGCCGCCCTTCAGAGAACGAACGATGCCTGTGACTGAAACACAGACCGAATACGCATGGAAACATGCGAATGTGTCCATCGATCGAGTCGCATTTTCTTACGGGTCGCAACAAGGGGCGACACCACGAGCAGCAAGGTGAAGACGACGCGTGTCTTCTCGCGATCTGTTGTTGCAGTCCGGGCAAGTGGCACAAGGTAGAGGGGTACGGCGATCGAAAAACACGTGACCACTACAAATATGCCCCATGTCTTGAGAATATACGCCCGCTTCCTGACGATTATCTTCGACGTTAGGGCCACTTGGCGGAAGACCCTGACAGGACAGGCACAACGACAGAGAATATGTGCTTGCTATCACAGTTCTGTTCTCACATGAGGGGTACGAGCACAGAAATGGGGTAGTGCATGAGCAGCGCATATTTGTGGCGTTTCCGCAGGACCTCGACGTGGTGGAAAAGTGCTGAAGCCACGTATGGGGCAAACCAAAGAAGGAAGAAATACCAGGTCGTCCTCAAGCGGCGGACAGCCCCAATTCCGCTACCCTCAGCCACAAGTAGTATCATAGCCATATAGCATAGGGCAACGATGATGCGGCGAGTTACATCAAGGACTATGCCTGCTGCTCTCGCGCTCATCTTCTCGCACGCCGACCAGTACGCCAGCCACACCAGGGCCCAACAGACTGCAAAGCCGACGGCTGCAATTAGGTGGAAT